AAATAAATTCAAAGTTTAAAACTAAAATTGTCATGGTAACCCAGACGTTAAACTATCTACATATGATGCGGGTATTGATAATGAAAATATTTGAAATCTGAATTAAATCCGTGAAGAAAAAAGGAAAAATTAAGGTTTAAGGAGGAGATAATTATGAAAATATGTAATTCTTAAAATAGTACGGCTAGTGTATTGAATCTTCTCACACAAATGTTAAAGAGGAACACATATTTGAAGAATGAAGTAGATGCCTTTAGAAATAAAGAAGCTATAGAAAAAGAAACACCTTTTACTTTTTTGAAATTCTTTGAAAATTCTTATAATATGAGTGCTAGAATTATGAACCTTGCCATGTATGATTTGTATGATGATAAGAAGCAAACATTTGAAGTTTGAAGTAGATACATTAAGGAAAAAAATACAAAAGAAACCACAACATTTTTTTCCATTAAATGTTCAAGGTGGGTAATTCCGAAATGTTTATTGTTAGTGTTTTGAACCTTGTATCAAAAGATGTGGTTGATGATCTGAAATATTTTTAAGTTAAGTTTTTAGTTGAACTAAATACATAAGAAATAAAGAAATGAAAAAAAAAAGATTTGCTGTTAACAACTTTAATCAGAAATAATTGACGTTAGGTGAGAAGGGCAGCTCTCAATATATTTTGTAGAGTCGAGCCAAATCTGACATACATAATCTCCATACTGCCATCTTTACATATTTAAAGTTTGATAACAAATTTTAGTACGTTTAAAGTAAACAGTATTAATGTTTTATTTGCCATATTTGATAAGGTAATGCATTATTTCGTAAGATATTTATGCACCTGATTTCAATGGAGATCTTGATGGCCATTTTTAATTCGGCAGCTATTTTGATTTTCAGGTTTGGGTCTTAATCTTAAACAACTCGCGGCATCATACTACCATAATCCAAAACGATTGGCTTTGTAGAACTGCTGAAATGATCACCTGAGTGTGAATAATGCAAAAAAATTACGTCTAATTTTTACTAAATCGTTGATAGTCTGTGTCTGTCTGTGGTTTGATATCAGCAAAAAATACCAATTATAAACACGTTATGAATCAGCCTTGCAAACATTTAATATACGTGAAGTGTTTAATAAATTTGCATGTCATAAACAAAAAATGAACCAACATAAATATTCACAATTCAAAGTCCAATATTGTTCTAATATTGTAAACATTTTAGGAATTAATCCTTTCACAAGGGCACAGGTATCCAATGAATGCGGCTATAGCTGGTAAATAGATTATTCACGGAATGCGAGTCGTTTAGAATAAATAAAGATAAAGTTGATTAAATAGATTCTTAAGGTTTTTTTCTACATGAGCGTTTTACATATTGCTCGTAGCTATGGTCAAAATCGCAAATTCACTTTATACCCTGTTATGGGCATAACGTTGCTTTCAAATCATATATGTATGGTGGTTTACAGTAACTGAAAAAATAATGTTTGCAGAAAGAACTTTGACATATACCAATGTATTTAATATATAAATTCTAACATACACTATTATATTTGGGGAAATAAACGTTTCTCTGTGTTTACGTATTAATCATAGGTCATTTTTTAACTCTTCAATAAGAACAATAAAAGAAACATTATTGAATGTTTACAACTCACAACGTTGCTTTGAAATAAGTTGATCCTTGAATTAAGTGGCTGGTTTTCTTTCATGTGAACAGTAAATTTCATGCGATGCAAATTCGTTAACAAAATAAGCTGAAAAAGTCCTATTTGAATGAAAAATTAAGTTCATTCAAGTTAAATGTTAATATTTAGAATTTATTTCAATGGCATATTGTTTTATATTAACGAATCAGTATTACGTATATCATTTGCGAAGAAACGGGATGGTAAACATATCCTAATTATTTATGCGCATAAGTACCATACGATTTAAATACTGTTTTAACATAGTTACGATACGATATACACCTAATCAATTGATTTGCAAAATGTAAACTAGTTTACTCATGATGATCAAAGCAGCAACAATTTCAATATCAATCCAGTTACTCTGTTTACTAGGATTATAAGTATTGTAATAATAGACCCACGATAAAAAGGAGGACACAACTCATGTACATCTTTTTTGTCCGATACTATTTTGATTGGAAAAGTCAGAAGACGATGAACTTTTCGTTTCTTAAAATTAAATGCTATTTTTCACTATATAAAATGTGTCATTTCTATCCACAGTATACAAAACATATTCTTTCTCTTTTTGTCTTTGTTATAACTATTTTGCTATGTATAGTTCATTTCGTTCATGTACTTTTAATTTCAAAATAGTAATGGAACAAACTGTATGTTTAACACTTTGATGTAACTGCTTCCTGATTATATGGAAAATTTAGTTTAACAACTACGACTACTTTAATGTGTACAGCACGCGCAAACGTTTATACAGCCGAACGTACCGTTATTCAAATGCTTATTGTTAATACTGTTGTAGCCCCGATATATGTCCAAACGTCGAAAAATGTCCAAACGACGATAAATGTCCAAAAATTGACGATAAATGTTTGGACATTTTTCGACGTTTGGACATATATCGGCGCTACAACTGTCATTAGCTAATTTAGTCATATAAGATCGTGGGAACTGTAACCTTCGCCATTTTGCATAGGGCTCATCGTGAAGTCGGGAGTAATCATAACTCCCGACATCCACTGGGTAGGCGTGGGTCGGGAGTGTACCTGGCACTGTCTGGGGCGCCTTTTATCGCAGGTTAACCTTATTTGAGCTTCTATGCCCAAGATCGTGCTCTGGTTAAGTTCAAGTCCACGATAGAGTAGGCGGAGATCACAAGTTCACTCCGATCTGAAAATTCTATATAAAATAATTATGAAAAATATTCAATTCACTTGCAAAATAAAACACTTAAAAGAGTTTATCTGTTAGTACATAGCTTTAACTAAAGGGAGGTAAATGCAACAATATCTGCTCTGTCATGCTATTTTTGTTATTTCCTTTCATATGCCATTCGCAGTTCATTACATTGAGAGTATTAAAGTATTTATGGAATTTCTATTATTTTCACTTTCTTTTTGTTTCTTTTTGTTGTTGGTAAACAGTAAACTCCTCCATTTATACCTTGAAAATGATTTACATATTTATTAAAATGGTATATTCATTTTGTTCAATTCTTTTTGCGCACCATTATATTGTATTATAAATATGTTTAAAAATGTTGATATATATTGAGCAGTAATTATTAATTTAATGCTACGTATGAATTTGATTCAATTTCTCCTTTTTCTTCTTTTTTTATTTCAGTTTTTCCTTTTTTCTCTTCAACACCAAACCTACCGATTTTAATTACATTTTCACTATTATATTTTCTGTGTCCATCCTATCACAACTTTTTTTCTAAAGAAAGTGATTTTGATTAAAATAAAAGTAAAAAAAGACACCATTCATAAAAGAATAAAAAATGACCCCCCCCCCCTCTTTTGAATGATAGATCATGTTTCTGTATAAGTTCATATGTGGACAATCAATAAATTTTGGGCAAGTTTTGGAAAAAAACTGACAGATGCCTACATCGACTTTAAAAAGGGTAAGGGTAACAAGGTCAGTGTAACGAAGGCTGGTTTTTGAATAGCACAAATGCTCTGTAGAGGGCGGGAGGAGGTAGTTGATGACAACCTATCAGGCAAACGTTCGTCCGTAATGCCGGCGCATGTGACGAGGGTTGTCCAATATACTCATGCACTGGTGAAATATGTTACATGTACTTTGCATAAGATAAAAAAACTAAAAAAATGCTTTGCATCAATCATTCCTCTATTGACAGTAAAACAAATTATGACATAAAAAGCAAATGCCACTTTACAAATGACAAAAATTTAATACAACCACAGTAATGAACTAACCAATTTTTTGTCGAGCGCCGGTATTACATTACTTAAGTAACTTAATGACAATTCTTTTTCACAAAAAGAATTTGAAAATTTCCGAAAATCAGAAGTTATCTGAACCAATGAACATGTTAGACATCAATTGCTTAGGTAAGACATGCTGAAAAATTATCAAGCCGATAAAATTCATTAATTGTAACGTTAAAATTTAAAAAAAAGCGTTTATAATTTCATTAAATTTCGTTATCACCTTTAAATTACTTAGTTGATACAATAACATAATGTTAGTCAACACAATTCATCCTTAGGTGTATTTCATGTACATGTTGTACCAGCAATTAAACTGTTTTATAATTTTCTTATTATATTCAAGGATTTGCTATGGTTGAGAGGTTATGGTTCTTCAAGTTGTCAAGATAAATGGTAAATTCAAATTGGAAATTTCTGACAATTTGAGGGTTTAAAAATCCGGACTGTTATATTTTTTTTTAATTTCCTGTTTTTTGAAGTATTTGTATAAGCCGATTTTAACCATATACAAATTAAAATATGACTTAGACAAAAATGTTAAAATGTAAATACAAAATGTCTTAACAAAGTCATTGTTCAAACACATCATAATTATCAATAAATGTATTAAACCTCTGAAAACCGGAATCCTCTGAAAACCGGACTTTTGGTCAAGTCCGCAGAGGGTCCGGTTTTCAGAACTTTTAATGTATATATGAAGATATATAAAGATCACAAAAAAATCTATAATTCTAAATACCAAGCTATGAATAACAACTAATTAAATTAGAATTACTAAAATAGGACAAGCAATAGGAATGTAAAATATTGAAATAAGTATGATTTTGTATCACAAATCAAACATGTAAAATTAAAAATATATTTATATGACGTAAGATATAATGTTGATTTATATGTGATTAAGTTATGTTACACCAAAAATGTGCAAGATTCAATAAAAGCCTCTATGTAAATATGACACAGTGCAAAGTTAATGTTAAATTAAATGGATATCACACCTTTACTTGTATATAAAACACTTGTGTAACTACTGACTTAAAGTTTTTCATAGTGTGTTTAAGAAAGCAAATGTTTATGTCTTAGTAATTCATGAACGCATTCCACATTCTTGCACCAAACCACTTTTGCTTTCTCTCTTCTTCTTCTTTTCTTAAGCGCGCAGCCTCCTTGCAAGCGTCGTCTTGTTCCTTTCTATAGCGTGCAGCTTCCTTTTCTGCAGCTTCTTCTGCAAGTTTGTAGCGTTCAGCTTCTTTTTGTGCTGCTTCTTTTTCCAACTTTTTTTTTCTTTTCTTGTCTGGGGCATAATGTGCCATTTAAATATCACATATTAGATCATTGTCATTTGAAAATCTGTAATTTAATAAAAAAAGATATGGACTTAATATGAGCCGCGTCACGACAAAACCAACATAATGGTTTTCCCATAGCATAGATCCAGACCAGCCTGCGCATCCGCGCAATCTGATCAGGACCCATGCTGTTCACTATCAGTTTCTCCACTTGTAATAGAGTTGGTAAGCGAACAGCATGGATCCTGATCTGGATCCATGCTGGTCGCAAACCCACTATGTTGGTTTTGTCGTGACGCGGCTCAATTATAATTATCAATGCGCTTACATATTATGACTTTTGACATTCAAGTTTTACCTTGACCATCGGGTTTCATTTTGCCCTCTAAACAAGCATCTAATCTAAATTATACACCATAGAATGAATTTCTTCTATATTTATTAATGAATATTTTACGATTTATCCATAAAATATGACAAAATATGCGGCGAAAAAAACACAATACGCTGAGCCTTTAACATTTAAAACTATAACAGTTGTCATATATTGTGACTTAGATATTAATGAAACCAAGACCTTACCAGCAGAATAAAAACACTTCAGAACAAAACCTTTAAAAAATTCCTGTCAAAATGACTAGACTTTGAATGGAAGCTTAGGCATTTTCTTTGCCTAACATTAACCACAGTGTAAGTCTCTCACCTGCGCTTGAATTTGACATTTTGCTTGAAAGTCATGAATAACATTCTGTCGAAGATGGTCAAGAGCTATCTTTTGTGCGCTTGTGTAACGTTCCCCCAAATCACTTTCAGAGACTGGCAGCATTACGTTTTCCATTTCAATTTCAAAGATTTCTAGAGCCTGTTTTTCAATTTTAGCATTTTCTATTTTCGCTACAGCTGTAAATGCGTCATCCACATCTGGAACAGCAAGCACCGTGTTTGATAGCTGTTACGTAGCGGTCAGCCAATGTTACGAACACTATAAAAAGGACAAAAGATCGTTCAAATTAAGTGATACTTCTAAAAAAGATAAAGAAACTACAAGGAAAGTGATGATAATGATGTCATGCAAATAAAGTACCCTGAATAATTAGGCATGAGTAAAAAAATCTTAGCTCGTGTTAAATGGAAGAACAATATTTAAAAGTGGATTCTTTAAAATAAACAGCTCCTTATACTAAAAGATGCAATCGAAATTTTGGACTTACGTAAAATCATTCAAATAAAGTTCGCTTGGACGGTTTAGTTGTTATCGATTTTGAGGTAATGATAAGAATAAGTTAACCGAAATTTGTTACTAATTTAGGCAAATCATGTTCTCTGAAAAAAATTATATTTAAAAGGCTTGCGACTCAAGACAAATGAAATAGAGTTATTGATAGTCAAACTACAATCATTCCTCAAACACATTTTTGAATAGAGTAATTCTATTGGAAATTCCCGGCCTTACAGTCTATGGTGAAAAACAATATTATACAATTGCGTTGTCAATTTGATCTGCTATCTAATTAACATATATATCATCAATGCAAGGCGACGTTCACTTTCACGTTTCCATAATCAATCATACCCATGCATATAGTGGCATTGATAGAACTTCCATTCAAATTCAAATTCAGGAGGTGGCACAAAGACGGAACAAGAAATGGGAGTAAAATATTACTGTAAAGTATCCTTTTACAGGAATCACTGGATGTCAAATATGAGTATTTACAAAGATAGTGATGATTGATCTTAAGGTCTCAAACGGGACATACAAAGATAAGAAAAAAATGTGTTTGTAAAACGCATTGTAATTATTTACTAAAAAAATGTTATATTGATCTATTATTAGTTTACATTTGTTAAAAATAAATAGATGTTTTTTGAAGGTAACAAATAAAACCATATAGAAGTTGCCTAAGTATTTTAAGTTTTATCATCAATTGCTGAGAATAAACTCAAATTCTGTATCTGCATACATACATACATTCATGACTACATCTATGTTTTTGTTTTAATTAGATACAGCAGGACATTGTCTGTAAGGCAATATCAAAACTGCTTCTATGTTTGTACATATATCAAGATTAAATTACATACTTTTAAAAATTATGGTCATTTACAACTTACTTTGTCCATTTATTGGTTTACTGCCAAGCAATGCCTTCGGTCGTATTTTTTGGTATATATAAGATGTAAACAGAATGGTTACTACCTGGAAACTAGTAGATAAATGGGTAAAACTCAAAGTTTCAAGATTCTCAAGAACATCACCATCACCTGGAACTGGAAAAGCAAAGCACTCGCGTTTCGTAAAGTATTTTCTGATGCATGCTCTTGGTTTGTTGAACTGATCTGTTTTGCTTTTGTTCTCTGCTAAGCTTTGCTCAAGGTAATCGTTTTCTGTTATCTTTTTCCCATCTTTTATCAATTTAAGACTGAAATCTCTCAAACATAGAACGAAGTCAGGAAGTATTAGATTGATCTGCTGGTTATCCTCAGAGGATTCCCCTCGAAATCGTATATTACTGGCCATTTCTGCTACAAAGCTGGAGTATTTTAGTTAAGCTATGTATATTAATTTTGTTTTATTCATTTATTTGAAGATTATGAAAAAAATGTTGTAAATTTTATGTTAATTTATTCTATGAGAATATCTGAATGATTGGACGTTCAAGAAATATTGTAATACCAAGTAAAGATCAAGGCACTTGATATCATCCTATTTTTTTTCATGAAACATATCAGATTATAAATAAGACAATTTAAAATATCTTTTAAATTCCTGGTTATTTACTCTAGAAATTTGCCATAACTGGGTACATGGAAGTGTTCAGTTATGTAAAAATGAAAAATAGTAACCTACTTATTATAACCAATCCATATATGAAATCGAAAGACCTTGACCTTTGAACTAGTGATCCTATAATGACTAACCATTTTGTGAAATTTTAAGACTGTGATAAAAGGTTTTCAAGGTAATGAGCAGATACCATTCTTACATTTAAGGCCATTGTGACATTGACCTTTGAAATAGTGACCCAAAAACTAATACAAATACAATGTTTATCAATTTTTGAAATATGGAGACTTTGCGATAAATAGTTTTCAAGCTAATGAGCGTAAAACCATTCTGACATTTAAGGCACGTGTGACCTATAAATTTGAAATAGTGACTCCAAAATCAAGAGCCGTCATCTACTACATATGACCAATTAATATTTGAAATATGAAATATATGTTTAAAACAGTTTTCAAGATAATGAGCAGAGCAATTCTGATATTAAAGGCCTCTTGTGACCTCGACTTTTGAACTAGTTACCAAAAAACAGTAGGGGCATCTATTTGTTATAGTTCTAGTTATATCAGTACGTGAAAGATGAAGACTGTTATAAAAAGTTATCAAGATAATGAGGCGAAACCATTATGACATGTTATTCTTCACTGACCTTGACATTTACACTAATGATCAATAGGTTTCATCTACTACATATTACCAATTTATATGTGATATGTGAAAATTTTTGCGATGAACTGATAATCAGCGGACACTTTTCTGATATTTTAAGCCCCTGTGACCTTGATTCTTGAACTAGTGACCCCAAAAACTATAGGGATCATCCACTTCATATGTTCAATCAATATGTGAAATATGAAGACTTTGTGATAAAAGTTTTCAAAATAATGAGAGGAAACCATTCTGTTATTCAAAGCACCTGTGACATTGACCCTCGACCTAGTGACCCCAACACTAAAATGGGTATCTAGTGTATTTAGGCAATGTATATGTGAAAGATATAGCTTTTGTAATAGATAGTTTTTTAGTTAAGATTATATTAAGCGGAACCATTCTGACATATAGGGCCGCTGTGACCTCGACCTTTGAAGAAGTAACCCCAAATCAACAGGGCTCATAGACTACATATGATCAATCAATATGTGAACTGTTAAGACTTTATAATAAAAAAAATTCAGGATAATGAGCGGAAACCAGTCTAACAGTCAAGGCCCCTGTGACCTTGACTAATGTCCTAGTGACACAAAAATAAATACGACCAATCAGTACGTGGAATATAATTGACATAATGATCCCAGAATCTACTAGTTATGACCAATCAGTTAATGAAATATGAAGACTTTGTGATACACATTTTTTAAGAGAATGAGCGGAAACCATGTGGTCTACCGACAGATAAACTGATCGACCGACCGATATTAGCAAAAAATAAACCCTATTTCTAAGAAGGGTTGGGGATAATAAATTATAAATTATCCAGTGTATTACCTCCGATAAATATCAATATTAGAAGTATCCGATGCAATCACGATACAATAACCAAAGGACAACTCAACGGACTGACTTTAAAACACGCTTGCTGAACACTGGTTATAGCATTATTTATATAAAAGCTAAACTTGTGTTAACGAAATACTAAGGTGGCCATTTGTTTATAATTTCAGACACAATCGGATACCGAGATAGAGCCACCGACCTACCGTAAGTAACCTGGATAGTTTCCACAAATGAAAATAAGAAGACTACCCGTGGCAGTGTAACAAGTTAAGGTCGCCGTCTTCCCCAATACGCTAAATAATGAAACAACAGCACATACAACAGAATCTATATATTTCGTAGTCATACTGCACCATCTAGATAGTGTAGTTTGTACGGGATATATACCGTGAGTAACCGACGATGCATGAAAATAAGCATCGCCATAGAAAAGACAAAACATGCTTACTTGTTTTGTTTTATTTCAAGAAAATTGATTCTGTAATAAAAGTTGAATAAGATTTTTGGAAACCAAAAGCTTATACTTTGGTTTGATAACACTTTAATTTGCATATCTTTAAAACAATAAACATTCATAATACTCAAAAAAAGGATACGTGAGTTTAGAGACGGCGTCGTTATCAAATGCACCCTTCATGTTGTAAACTAAACAGTTGCTAAGAAGTGTCGCTAGGGTAAAAAGCTTGTTGTCCTGACTTGGGTCACCTTGTCAAATAAGATTTTACGAAATTGACTTTTAAATCAAGTTTTGAAATGCAACAGTTCTGTTAAAATAGCCAGAGATGTAAATTTATTAATTTGATCAACATCTACTCGTGCTTGCATACTTTTTTTTATTTCTAAATGTCACCGTCTAATTCATTTGAATAAACTATGCATACCTTTTCAATATCGCCAAGTCCTTCCGTATCAAGTAGCAACAAAACAGTGTTCGACTGTGTTGGATGTATTTTACACCATGCCCAAATGCCCTTGGTTTTTGATTCAATCGTATCTCCCAGCGCGAAACCTAAATCAGCATTATTAGAAACTAAACCTTAACTTCCATTTCCGTGTTGGGCATAACGGTAACAATGTTCTTATATCGATTATATATAATATAGTATTTAATATCATATGAATATCTATGAATTCAAATTGCTATTTTATTAAGTTTAGTATTCATGAAATATGATGAGTGAATTCTGCAACTACATTGTAATTTGATAAAGATAAAATAACACTGACATACACTGTTAAATTACCTTTGTTTGACTCCGCTAGACAATTCATAAGATACGATTTTCCTGTTCTGTACAAACCTGCAACGGCTACAACAACCATTGGCCAATCTATCTTTGCTATTTGATCAAATACTTTTTCTTCGCTCTTTAAAAGTATTTTAGTTTCTTCTCCTTCTTTGTTATTTTCACTAACAGTGCTGATCAAGCACATGGGATATTTGAATATTTCTAAATCATTTGGAGACCACATGCTGTAAATAATATCACCACTTGCTTTAAATAGTTCAGCAAATCTACATTTTTATGTATTTTGAAATTTATCTTGAATGTTTCATTTTCTTTGCAATATAATTATGCGCCAAGAAATGTAAGAGCAAAGGGAATCCACGGATAGCACTGCTTATACGAACCACAATCCAAACACACAAAAATAGCAACAGAACCAAAGACATATAAAACATGAACGTCGCCTCGTTCATATATGAGACTCAGTTACTTTATACAAAAATCTAACAATGCAATCTTAAAGGCTTTTGCGAAAAGAATTACAACTATCAGGATGAATTTAAAATTGTTAGTTTCTGAATGAAACACTTATATCAGCAATGATATTGACAATAAAAAAACAGAAACAAAGGACCAATATATACACGAACGTAGTAGAATCTCTCACATGTTCTATAATTTATTATGTGTTTATAAATTGATGTAATATCCAATTAAGTTTTGAAAATACATTAACTTTTATTAACCTATCATAGAAATGTCAAAATTGTAACAAAAATATAATAATTACGTATTAAAATGAAAATTTCAATTTGATTTTCCGTTGATTCTCGTTTAGAACAAATTTATTTTCACAAAATGTAAGAAGTATAAACCAAATTGTTTACAATACCAGTATAAAATAATTACGGAACGTCGGTGGTTCTACTCCATATGTACTCAGGTACCCGTTCGTGCCTGAAATAATGCACCGAAGGGCACCTGGGGTTTCCTCCACCAGTAAAGCTGGAACGTCGCGATATGACCTATACTGTGTCGATGTGACGTAAAACCCAAAACAAAACAAACAAAAAAAGTATAAAATTAGTTTCTTTTTTATATTTGTTGTTTTGTCTTGAAAAAGATATCAGCGACAAAATAAATTGGAACAAAATTTCAAAATACCCTGAAAAGCATAATTAAAAACAATGAATAGTTTATGTCCCGAAAATAAAAGGTAAAGTACATATTTGCGGAATAATGGTACAACCTGCTTGTGATTGATGATATTCTCTTCTTTGAATCTCTGTTTTTCTTTGTGGAGGCTATTTAATGTAAACAGTATAACAATGATATAGAAAGTGTGTGAAAAGAATGTAAATAGTAGTCTAATGTTATTTGTAGAACTTGATCAGTTTTAATAGTTCATAAAACAACTTTCCTATAAATAAATACGGAATTTTATATTCTTGAAGTATTTGAGGCTTTGTATTTTGTTACGAGCAGCGGTGGAAAATTCGGTCTCGCGAGATATCAATGTTTCAACGTTGCGAGTAAAAAAAATACATAGTCTCAGAAAGCTACTACAACATAATTTTCCTTTTATTATATACCTTTTCGTTTTATTCTGAAAATGAAATAGAAATAAATTCATGACTGACGGATGAATACGTAATTCTTGGAAAACCGGCCACGCTTTTAATTATTTTGGTTCTTGTTTCCGAATGCAACGTTATACAAAGCTTAGTTCGGAACCAACGTCAAAAATAGCCCGAGACTTCCATATATGGTACCGTATTTGTCACTTACAAATACGGAAATTTCTATCCGTTGAAGCGTATTTGCGCTTACAGATTTGCGTGTATTTTAGGGAGAAAATGTGCAGGTATATTATAAATGCATTTATTTTGTAGAAATATTGTGACTTAAGACGTAGAAAAACTGTGACTTTAGACGTTCATATAAACTTTATAGACAGAGCTTTTACGTCAAAATGAAAATGTAAAACATATCATGCGTTTGAATACCTGTGCGGCGTTTGTAAAATGCATTTTTTGACCTTGTGGCCATGTTAGCCTGCCTATCAGAGAAACAGTTGTGTTTTTTGTCATTTTCCTACAATCTCAATAAATTCACGATTATCATGCAGTCTTTTATTTCATATTATCATGTCAAATCAACACAGCCAGTATCACAACTTTTATCATCATTAATGGAACTTGCTACTGCTATGTACTACCACCATAACTTTTGCTGCTGCTTCTTCCTACTAACACTGCTACTGCTTCCTACTAATATTGTTACTACTGCAGCTTCCTTTTTATACTGCTACTGGTACTAACACTGCTACACTGCTGCTTCCTACTCATACTGCTAGTGCTGCTGCTTCCTAATAATACTGCTACTGTTGCTGTTTCCTACTGCTTTTGCTTTCTACTACTACTAATACTGCTGCTGCTTCCTACTGTTACTGCTGCTGCTTCCTACTAATACTGCTATTGCTGCTGTTTCCTACTAAAACTACTTCTGTTACAGCTTCCTACCAATACTGCTTCTGCTGGTGCCTCTTACTTCTACTGCTACTGCTGCTGCTTCCTACTACAGCTGGTACTTCCACTGCTACTGCATCCTACTAGTACTGCTATTGCTGCTGCTTCCTATTACAACCACTACTTCCACTTCTGCTACTTCCTAGAACTACTGATACTGCTGCTGATTCCTACTTATACTGCTGTTACTACTACATTCTATTAAAACTGCTAATGTTGCTACTTCCTACTATTAATGCTACTGCTTCTGCTGCTGCTTCCTACTACTGCTACTGCTTTCTTCTACTACTGCTACTGCTTCCTACTACTAATAATTCTTCTTCCTACTATTAACGCTACTACTTCTGCTGCTTCCTACTACTGCTACTGCTTTCTTCTACTACCGCTTCTGCGTCATACTACTTCTGCTACTGCTATTGCTTCCTACTACTACTGCTACTGCTGCTGCTTCCTACTACTGCTACTGTTTCCTACTACTACTGATTCTGCTTTCTTCTCCTTCTGCTACTGCTTCTGCTTCCTACTACTACTGCTACTGTTGCTGCTTCCTACTACTACATCTACTGTTTCTTACTACTATTGTTGCTGCTTCCTACTACTATTGCTACTGTTGCTGCTTCCTACTACTGATTCTGCTTCCTTCTAATACTGCTTCTGCTGCTGCTGCTTCCAACAACTACTGCCACTGTTGCTGCTTCTTAATACTACTGCTGCTGCTGCTTTATACTACTTCTGTTTGATGCTGCTTTGTACTACTACTTTTGCTACTGCTGCTGCTTCCTACTTATTCAGCTACTGCTTGTGCTTCATTTTCTACTGCTACCGGTAGTGCTTCTTACTACTACTGCTGCTGCTTTTTTCTTATACTGCTTCTGCTGCTGCTTTCTACCAATACTGCTACTGCTGCCTACTACTACTCCTGCTGCTTCCTGCTACTACTTCTATTCCTGCCGCTTCCTACTTATACTGCTACTGCTGCTGCTTTCAACTGCTTCTTTTGCTGTTTCTTACAACAACTGCTACCGCTGCTGCCTCCACTGATACTTCTTCTGATGCTGCTTCCTACTTAATATTGATGCTTCTTACTAAAACTGCGCTACTGCTTCTAACTACTACTACTGCTGCTTCCTACTACTGCTGCTTCCTACTACTTTTGCTACTGCTGCTGCTTTCTACTTATACTGCTACGTCTGCTGCTTTCTACTACAGTTGCTACTACTGTTGCTTCCTACTATTACTGCTACTGCTTCTTCTTGCTACTACAGCTGCTACTGCTGCTGCTTCCTACTTATACTGCTACTGCTGCTGCTTCCTTCTGCTAATGCTTCTGTTGCTTTTTCTACTGCTACCGTTACTTATGCTGCCTCTACTGAAAATCTTATTATGCTACTTACTACTACTATTGCTGCTTCCTACTGTTCCTATTAATGCTGCTGCTCCCTACTACAGCTGCTACTGCTGCTGCTTCCTACTTATATTGCTACTGCTGCTGCTTTCTACAACAGCTGCTACTGCTGCTGGTTCCTACTAATACTGCAACTGCTGCTGCTTCCTACTACAACTACTATTGCTGCTTATACTTATACTGCTACTGCTGCTCCTTGCTTCTGCAACTGCATCTGTTGCTGCTTCGTTTTACAACTGCTACTGCTGCTGCCTCTACTGATACTTCTACAGCTGCAGTTTCCCACTTAATATTGCTGCTTCCTTCTAATACTGCTACTGCTTCTTACTACTTAGTATAGTTGCTTCCTACTTATACTGCTACTGCTTCTTACTACTACTGTTGCTGCTTTCTACTGCTACTATTACTGCTGCTGTTTCATACTACTTCTGCTACTGCTGCTGCTTCCTACTTATACTGCTACTGCTTCTTATTACTACTGCTGATGCTTCCTACTGCTTCAACTAATGCTGAAAACTTCCTACTATTTCCCTGCTACTGGGGTTGCTTCCCTACTAATAAGCTCCTGCTACTGCTGCTGCTATCTACTTATACTGCTACTGCTGCTACTGTTTCATACTAATACTGCTACTTCTTCTTACTACTACTGCTGCTGCTCCCTACTGCTACTACTACTGTTGCTGCTTCCTACTAGTACTGTTACTGCTGCTGCTTCCTTCTTATACTGCTACTGATTCTTAATACTTCTGCTGCCGCTTCCTACTGCTACTACTAATGCTGCTGCTTCCTATTAATACTGCTACTGTTGCTGCTTTTACTTATACTGCTATTGTTGCTGATTCCAACTGCAACACCTTTTTTGTTTCTGCTTCGAACTACTTATGCTCCTGCTGCTGCCTCTTCTGATACTTCTACTGCTGCAGTTTCCTACGTAATATTGCTGCTTCCTACGAATACTGCTACTGCTTCTTCCTACTACTGCTGCTGCTTCCTACTGCTACTACTACTGCTTCATACTACTTCTGCAACTGCTGCTGCGTCCTACTACTACTGCTTCTGCTGTTGCTTCCTACTACTGCTACTGCTTCCTACTACAACTGCTGCTGCTTCCTACTGCTACTACTACTGCTTCATACTACTTCTGCAACTGCTGCTGCTTCCTACTTACACTGCTTCTGCTGCTGCTTCCTACTACTACTGCTACTGCTGTTGCTTCCTACTACTGCTACTGCTTCCTACTACAACTGCTGCTGCTTCCTACTGATAATACTAATGCTGCTGCTTCATAGTACTTCTGCTACTGCTG